TGACAATTTGAAAGACAAGACAGAAAGACTGAAACATACACACAAACCAACGAACACGCAAACTGGCAAAAAGACAGAAGATAAACGGAAAGACAGGCAGACAGACGGTAGAACAAATAGACAAACGAAAAGACAAAATAGACAACACCGTGGTGGAAGCGTCCATAAAAAACGGGAATTAGTTGTTGCTAAATATAAATCCACTACTGGTGACAGACACGTCCTCAAAACTCAGGTAATAATAGTGTACACCTGTTGTCAGCCTGTTTAATTACACAGGTGAGGACCAAAACACAGGTTGGTTATACAATAATTGCAAGGAGAGAAAAAATTATGCAGGAAATATTTACCTGGGGGCATTGTTGTGTTTCATTAGAGTAAACGCACACGCACGGACACACACACATAAACACACACACACACACACACACACACACACACACACACAAACACACTAATCAAAACCATCCATGTTTATTTTTTCGCCTCCACGTTTTCAGATTATATGAAAGAGGGCGTGAGCTGGGCGGCTTTGGGGGCGTCAATTCACCTCGTTAGGGTCCAACCAAGAGGTGCACTTTATGCTGGATTTTGGACCATTGTTTACACTACACCCGGACAAAGAGACTGCCAAAAATTCCACGTAGATGACTCGGTAGAGGAGGGAGAAAATTCTGAACATATACGTGGTGTGTGTGTGTGTGTGTGTGTGTGTGTGTGTGTGTGTGTGTGTGTGTGTGTGTGTGTGTGTGTGTGTGTGTGTGTGTGTGTGTGTGTGTGTGTGTGTGTGTGTTCTCATGTATGTGTGTTTGTAAATCTATCTTCATAACCAAACTTAAGTTATTAACTCAATTAAAAAAAATACTCCCACGATCTATAATACTCAACGTGCACCAGACAGCGACTATCACCTCACGATGTAAACACCGACAAGCGCACTCATTTCAGGGAAAATTCCAAATACATAATAAAAATAGCAGTCATGGAAATAAAAAATAAATACAATAAAATAATACTGCTTTTTAGAATCCAATAACACTTTTATTATTTTTGTGATATCTTTAGAAAATTCAGCTGTACGTAGATAAGGAAATCAAGCGGTGTTATTGACTAGTTCTGATGTAATGCCTCAGCTGAAATAGTGGAGGGTAGGGGGCGGGGGGGGGGGTAGGGATTAAGATCAAAATAGTAAAATAAACCAGATGCAAACGGACTCACTTATACACACACCCAAACAAACAACGAGGAGGGAGAAAACACGGAGAGAAGAGAAAGAATAAAGTACAAAGGAAAGACAATAAACACGGAGAGAGGAGAAGGAAGAAACCCAAATAAAAGACACACGAATATGACAAGCCACTCAACAACAAGCTGCGGGTCCCCACGACAAGGCCAGGAGAAGATGAAGCCCTTGAGGAGGAGAGCGGCAGCCTGGTGCTGGTGACAGCCCACCACTCTTAAGGCCCTCCTCAACAACCCTTCATTACCCCACACACAACCACACCAACACACACATACATATACCTTCACACGCGCGCGTGCACATATACATGCAAATGGGCACACACATGCATGTATATATACAAAATCATGCTACACACACGGCGCGCGCGCACACACACACACACACACACACACACACACACACACACCTCCCATAGATACAGACAAAAACACTCAAGCACGTTCTGAACGTTAAGGAAACCCATAACAGTAAAGTTGATAAGAACTAGAGACCCGCCACTGCCAACGTGAACTAGAGACCCGCCACTGCCATCATGAACTAGAGACCCACCATTGCCAAGCATGAACTAGAGACCCGCCACTGCCAACGAACTAGAGACCACTGCCATCATGAGAGACCCACCATTGCCAACATGAACTAGAGACCCGCCAACGAACTAGAGACCCGCCACTGCCAACGAACTAGAGACCCGCCACGCCAACATGAACTAGAGACCGCCACCATCATGAACTAGAGACCCACCCACAACGTGAAGTAGAGACCCGCCACTGCCAACATGAACTAGAGACCCGCCACTGCCATCAGAACTAGAGACCCACCACTGCCAACGAAGTAGAGACCCACCACTGCCAACATGAACTAGAGACCCGCCACTGCCATCATGAACTAGAACTAGAGACCCACCATTGCCATCATGAACTAGAGACCCGCCACTGCCATCATGAACTAGAGACCCGCCACTGCCATCATGAACTAGAGACCCACCACTGCCATCATGAACTAGAGACCCGCCACTGCCATCATGAACTAGAGACCCACCACTGCCAACGTGAAGTAGAGACCCGCCACTGCCAACGTGAACTAGAGACCCGCCACAGTCGACCGGTTTCAGAAGGCTCTTGTGAGAGTAGTGGTGGGGGGAATTTAATTAGTTAAGTTGGGTGGCTGATGCTTATTGCAGTGTGTGGGAGTTAGTGGGTCATGTTGTATAATAAGTGCTGAGCTGAGAGGCGCCGCTATTAGATACCAAGGTGAGAAAAAACCCTCTTAATTGGGGCAGCGTATCGCGACTTGTAGTACGCATTTTACGCCCGACTCCCGTACCAAAGATAAACATACAAATATTTTCCTATACCGGACTTGAAATGTTTAATATTATCTTAAAGGGAAAAAAACAGTGGGGAAAAAAGTCACAGTTCTGTATCGAGGTGCGTATTGTTTCTTCTAATGCGCATTCTGAGGTCAACTCGACATTACTGGACAGTGCTTTGACCAGAGAGAAAAAATAAGGTATGTTTCTCATTACTTGACTTTAAATAAATTGGTTTTTTAGTCGCATTCAATTTCATAGCGAGATTAATCGACTCGCTGAGAACTACACGATTTTCGAGAATGAGAATTTTGCATAATTTATTATTATTATTATTATTATTATTATTATTATTATTATTATTATTATTATTATTATTATTTTTATTATTATTATTATTATTATTATTATTATTATTATTATTATGCACTTAGACAATCCTAATGGGTTAAGTAAGGCATTATTTCACTATTGTAAGAGTCTCTGGGCCTATAGGGAGGCGTATTTCCTCTTCCCTCCTCATTCCCCCAACCCTCCCCTCATCTAAGCTTGCTTCCTCCGTTCCATTTGTCCCATTATCTTCTTATCTCCCCTTCTCTTTTTTTTATTCACGTCATGTTTATGTTTCTCCATTTTCTCTTCACTTGTTCCTCATTTATCTCTCCGCTTCTCTTTATTCCATCGTATTCCACCTCCTACGTCTTTTAACTTTTCTCTTCCACATCTCTACCTCCTCTCTACCCCCTCATTATCCATTTTCACTATTATCCAATCCTTATCTACTTACCCCTCTCTTTTCCCTCATTTGCCCCCTTCCCATTACCCTTTTCTTTCTATCCATCAACCCTCACTTTTCCCCCACACCTCAAATCCTCCCTCATCCCTTTCAAATCCCCTCTCTTCTACCTTACCTCCCCATCCCTTTACTGTTTCTTCCTGAACCTCTCTCTAACCCCTTTCCTCTTCCTTTCCCTCCCCTCTCCTCTCCTTCCTTTCCTATCCATTCCCATTACTCTTTCCTCCCTCGCCTGTCTCTACTCCCTTTACTCCCTTCATTCTCCCCATATTCCCCCCTTACCCCTCCTCCCCCTCCCTCTCTATTCTGGCTGGCCCTATCAGCAGGACGCAGCCCCTTGCACACACTCACACATGCCGCCTCGCTGACTTACACAACACTTTTGGGGCCAAATTATTTCTGGGATTAGATGGTTATTCGGGGAAAATAGATTTGTGAATTTGGAATGGAGGTGTTGCGGTTGTGATGGGCGTGTGGGCGTGGGTGTGGGTGTGTGGATATTTTTATTGTTAGGTGGGAGCCCTCGGTCATTGTCCACCAACACGACTGTCAAAGTTTGATGTAACAATGTGACCTTAATTAGTCGTTCCCCCTCCTCCTTCCTTCCTCCCCTCTCCACCTCCTCCTCCTCCTCCTCCTCCTCCTCCTACCCTCTCCTTCCCCTCCGCCTTCAACTTAGTCTCGAGTCAAACGTAAGTAAGTTTCACCGCTCTCCACTTAGACAAACCCGCCACCACCCACAACTCACAGTTTCTTGACGCTTCAACACCAAGTTTTTGAAGGAGTTCTTGAGGAGGTTTTCAAGAGGCTCCGGTAAGGTCCTTAAGGTATTCCTGAGGAGGTTTTGAAGGAGTTACAGGAATAGATCTAGAAAGGTTTAAATAGAGAATAACTTGAAATCTAAAGCCAAAGTAATAGCAGGTTTGCCTCTCAGACATTGATGCTGGATGCCGAGGAGGTTTTAATGCTATTCTAATGATTTACGAAGTCTGTAATCAATTCTACAAAAGGATTAGGTGGAGTTTTGGCAAGTGGTTGTGGGATTGTCTTGTAGCGTCATCTTTTTTTTTTTTTTTTTTAAGTTTCAGGAGAAATCTTTCCATGGGTTCCTAATTTGCATTTGGATAAGTTGAACAGATTTTCAAGCGATTTCCAAAAGCTTCCAAACAGGTATATTGAAGACAGCGCACAGGTGAAGCCATAGCAATATTGAAGATGTTTCCGAGTAAATCTTGAGACAAGTTCCTTTTGAAGGTCTTAAGAGGGGTTCTTGTTAGGGCTTTGTGGGTTTGTATTAGGAGAGTTAATGAGAGGTTTATGGGGGTTCTTGGTGGGGTTCCTGCACGTTGCTCGCTCCTGGGAAGCCGTACCCCTCCCCCAGCAACCCGCAGCAGATCTGGGAATTATAGTTGGAATGGCGGAGGCCCCCAACTCCCCGGCCAAGTTGGTGGCGGGGCGGCAATCAGGGAAATTCAATACCAGACTCAGGAAGGCTGCGGAGGACCCGCTGTTCCTGTTGCTGCTGTTGCTACTGCCATTCCTGCAGGTGGATGGCGGTCCTGCAGTTGTTCCTTGATGCTGTTGCTGCCTTTACTGTCCTAACTGTTGATGTTGTTGTAGCTACTTGTACTGTTGCTGCCTTTACTGTCCTAACTGTTGATGTTGTTGTAGCTACTTGTACTGTTGCTGCCTTTACTGTCCTTACTGTTGATGATGTTGTAGCTACTTGTACTGTTGCTGCCTTTGCTGTCCTTACTGTTGATGATGTTGTAGCTACTTGTACTGTTGCTGCCTTTGCTGTCCTTACTGTTGATGATGATGTAGCTACTTGTACTGTTGCTGCCTTTGCTGTCCTTACTGTTGATGATGTTGTAGCTACTTGTACTGTTGCTGCCTTTGCTGTCCTTACTGTTGATGATGTTGTAGCTACTTGTACTGTTGCTGCCTTTACTGTCCTTACTGTTGATGATGTTGTAGCTACTTGTACTGTTGCTGCCTTTGCTGTCCTTACTGTTGATGATGTTGTAGCTACTTGTACTGTTGCTGCCTTTGCTGTCCTTACTGTTGATGATGTTGTAGCTACTTGTACTGTTGCTGCCTTTGCTGTCCTTACTGTTGATGATGTTGTAGCTACTTGTACTGTTGCTGCCTTTGCTGTCCTTACTGTTGATGATGTTGTAGCTACTTGTACTGTTGCTGCCTTTGCTGTCCTTACTGTTGATGATGTTGTAGCTACTTGTACTGTTGCTGCCTTTGCTGTCCTTACTGTTGATGATGTTGTAGCTACTTGTACTGTTGCTGCCTTTGCTGTCCTTACTGTTGATGATGTTGTAGGTACTTAGCTACTGTACTGCTTGCTGCCTTTGCTGTCCTTACTGTTGATGATGTTGTAGCTACTTGTACTGTTGCTGCCTTTACTGTCCTTACTGTTGATGATGTTGTAGCTACTTGTACTGTTGCTGCCTTTGCTGTCCTTACTGTTGATGATGTTGTAGCTACTTGTACTGTTGCTGCCTTTACTGTCCTAACTGTTGATGATGTTGTAGCAACTTGTACTGTTGCTGCCTTTGTTGTCCTTACTGTTGATGATGTTGTAGCTACTTGTACTGTTGCTGCCTTTGCTGTCCTTACTGTTGATGATGATGTAGCTACTTGTACTGTTGCTGCCTTTACTGTCCTTACTGTTGATGATGTTGTAGCAACTTGTACTGTTGCTGCCTTTGCTGTCCTTACTGTTGATGATGATGTAGCTACTTGTACTGTTGCTGCCTTTACTGTCCTTACTGTTGATGATGATGTAGCTACTTGTACTGTTGCTGCCTTTGCTGTCCTTACTGTTGATGATGATGTAGCTACTTGTACTGTTGCTGCCTTTACTGTCCTTACTGTTGATGATGATGTAGCTACTTGTACTGTTGCTGCCTTTGTTGTCCTAACTGTTGATGATGATGTAGCCCTTGCTGTTGCTGCCTTTACTGTCCTTACTGTTGATGAGTGTAGCTACTTGTACTGTTGCTGCCTTTGTTGTCCTAACTGTTGATGATGTTGTAGCTACTTGTACTGTTGCTGCCTTTGTTGTCCTTACTGTTGATGATGATGTAGCTACTTGTACTGTTGCTGCCTTTGTTGTCCTAACTGTTGATGATGATGTAGCTACTTGTACTGTTGCTGCCTTTACTGTCCTTACTGTTGATGATGATGTAGCTACTTGTACTGTTGCTGCCTTTGTTGTCCTAACTGTTGATGATGTTGTAGCTACTTGTACTGTTGCTGCCTTTGTTGTCCTTACTGTTGTTATTGTTGTAGCTGCTTGTACCGTTGCTGTTCCCTTTGATGCTATTTCGCTACATATGCTATTACTATATAATTACTCGGTCGCTACTATCGCCCGTGCTGTTTCTCGCATCACGGCCACACATGTTTACTCCTGCTACTCCTCTCGTCACTATTCCTGCCTCATCTTTTTTTTTTTTTTCATGTCAGCTATTGTTGTTACTATATCATTGTCAAGGACATTTTTGTTCTCGCCATCAAATCAATCAACCAACGCTTTTGAACGCACAAGAAAGCTTTCATCAATCACACATGTATTGATTTTAATCCGCCAAACACCCCCACCCAAAAAAAAATCAAATAAAATAGTTTGGTAGTGAGACTTGTATACTTTTCAACACTTCTTACCCCCAGGAGAGCATCGAACGCTTAAGAAGGTTGTTGCCGTGCCTCTCCCTCAGACCCATCCCCCCACCCCCCCAACTAATGGCATCTCCAGTCAGTAGTAACTTCACCGCGTCTTCACCCCACATACCCACCGACCTATTCACTGGCATGCTTTAAAAGTGTCCACTACGATTTTTTTTCTCGTTTTCCTGTTAGGTTTTCCCTCTTCTCCTTTGTCCTCTTTCTTTGTATTATTGTTTTTCTTGTCCTCTAGTTTTTTATTTTGTTTTTTCTCGTGTCTTTTCTTCTCATTTTCTAATTTTCTCACTTTTTTTTTTGTCTCAGTCTTCTTCTGATCTTGAATATTAGGAGACCTTGAAGATGTGCGCACGTAGAATCAGCCAAGACAAACAAAGTAATATATTAAGCAGAGGCAACACAACAAACACTTAACACAAACACAAGAGCTGCACCACACAGTACAGTGCATATATATGTAGTTTTGTCTCTCTTTTTTTGGCTAAGTTATCAAGAGTGAACAAACAGAAACACAAAGTCTAACACTGAGAGGAATGATAACAGAATGTCGACTAGCATTAACTGGATAGGAAAGAAGGTAGACAGGTTTTGTAGTCTGTCAAACGCTACGTGGGAAATGGTCGTCATTCTAACCCCCCAAAAAGACTTTAGTGTTGTTTTAGGTACACGAGCAGGTACAGAGTCTTCCATTTGTCCACAACAGCAGCATAGAGAGTATTGCCTCGACTTAGACTAGGGAGAAAACAGGGGATGGTTGGGGGGGAGGGAGGGGGATGATTCAGTGAAAGCTTGCTAACAGAGGAGTGTTGGTGGTGTAGGTACAAGTTGATTCCCAAACCTTAAGGATAAACCCAATTTATCTTCCTTCCTTTCTTCCTTCCTTCCTTCCTTCCTTGTAGATAATTAAGACGCTCCTACTCCTCCTCTTCCTCTCCCCTCGTTCTCCTCCTCCTCCTTCTCCTTCCCCTCCTCCTCCTCCCCTCCTCTACCTCCTCCCCTCCTCTACCTCCTCCACTCTCCGACTCCTTCACTTATACCCTCACACAATCCATCTTCTCTCCCACTCACAATATTATCCCACTCTCCTTCTCTCCCACTCACAATATTATCCCACTCACCCTCTTCACGATGAATACGAAGCAATGTCTCCCCGTTGTCCATATGTCTTTCATCTATACAACCTCCTCCCTCCCTTGTTTACTTATGATTAATAACAGACAGCTTACTTCAATACACCACTCTACTTCCTGATTTGCATTCTAACACACACTCTCTCTCTCTCTCTCTCTCTCTCTCTCTCTCTCTCTCTCTCTCTCTCTCTCTCTCTCTCTCTCTCTCTCTCTCTCCCCTACTACAACCCCTCCAATATATCCTTCATCCTACTAGCTAAGGTCGTTCTTCATCCAACTAGCTAAGGTCATTCTTCATCCTATACTAGCTAAGTCATTCTTCATCCTAGCTAAGGTCGTTCTTCATCATATACTAGCTAAGGTCGTTCTTCATCCTACAAGCTAAGGTCGTTCTTCATCCTACAAGCTAAGGTCGTTCTTCATCCTACAAGCTAAGGTCGTTCTTCATCCTACAAGCTAAGGTCGTTCTTCATCCTACAAGCTAAGGTCGTTCTTCATCCTACAAGCTAAGGTCGTTCTTCATCCTACAAGCTAAGGTCGTTCTTCATCCTACAAGCTAAGGTCGTTCTTCATCCTACAAGCTAAGGTCGTTCTTCATTCTACTAGCTAAGGTCGTTCTTCATCCTATACTATCTAAGTCGTTCTTCATCCTACTAGCTAAGTAGATTTTCATCCTATACTAGTTAAGTCGTTCTTCATCCTACTAGCTAAGGTCATTCTTCATCCTACTAGCTAAGTGAACAACTATACTTATCTTTTCCCTCTCCCTCCCCTCTTTATTCCATTCCACTTTATCATCGTTTCTCTATCATGAAATATTCCTATAGTTTCACCTTCCATCTTAAACCTCACGCGTCTCTTGCAACTCTCACTCACTCGACTGATTCATGTCACCTGGTTCCTTACTTTCCCTCTGCCTCCTACATTCTCTAGCATTCCTCCTCACCTTTCTAAACGAATATTTCCCAGCTCCTCTTTATTCCGATTCTCCTCATCTTTTTACACTGGAGTAGTTCTGTACCTCCCTCCCATACACTCCGTGAGTTCGTACCTACCAAACTCCCTAAATCTCCAACATTCCCTCTATTTTTCCTCGTGGTGGATGATAAACACGCTACTTACTCCACAGGCTGGCACTCCACTACCAACTGCCCCCTCTCCCTCCCTCCCAGGTCTCTCAATACGAGAACTGAGCCGTTTGCTTCTCCCTTCCTCCAACCCGCTCTTATGGTGGATGTCAAACTACCCTCACTCCCCTCGTCTCCAACTCTGCACCATCCCCTCACCCTACTACCCTCACTCCCCGATGGTGGTAGTGGATGTTAGGACAATGTTCTCACCAGTGATAAACATCTCGGCCCGGTCATAAAGAAGCCCCCGGAGCACAACAAGATATTACACGCTGGCCATCCTAATTATTTTCCGCACGGACACACTCCTATGGGGCCGAGCGTCGCTGTGGCCGCTCAGGCGTGAGGTGCTTGGTCTGTGTGGCGCAGATACCAACACCCCCTTCCCCTCCCCCCTCCAATCCCTCACCGTGGAGAGGAGGAGGGGGCGAGGGGTAAGGGAGAGGAGAGAGGAGTGTCAGGACGGGGTAAGGGAAAGGAGAGGAAGGAGGGAGAAGGGGAAGGAATAGGAGCGGAAGGAGGCAAGGGAAGAGACTAAAGAGGAAAAGGAAGAAAAAGAAGGGGGAGTAGAGGAGTGACGAAGAGAGAAGAGAATGACTGTGAACGTAAATAGGAAGGGGATAGGTAAATAAAGATAACCGCAGGAGAATGAGAGGGGGGATGGGAAAGTAGTCGTTAGCAGAAGAGGAAACGGAGGAAAGGAAGAGGAATGAGAGTTAAATAGATAAGGGAATAGGGGAAGAGGAGGGGTAAAGAGAGATTAAGTAGCTGAGTAGATATAAGAAGGGGGGGGGAGGGAGGTAGACACAGGGAAGAAGAAAAGAGGGTCTAAAGGAGAGGAGAGAAAATAAGTTCGAAAGATGATTAAAAACAGGGATTAAACGGTAAAAGGAGAGAGAGAGATGATTCATGAATGAAGGAGGAAAAGAAAACCAAAACCAAAAGGCAAAACAAAACAAAAATGAGAGAGAGTTAGCGAGAGGAGGAGAGGAGAATGATGGGTGTATGAAGCAGCAATAACCAAAACATATCACAAAGGACAGCGAGGACCCCCAGCTGTGTGATAACTGTACCTGCCTGACAAAGAATTTTCAACAGTAACAGAATTAACAGCTTAGACACCCAACAATGGCAGAAGCGGTCTCGTTTATTTGTACCGAATGAACCTTAGGTCTTGATAATAATATGTGACTCTTGCCTGACAACTCCCAAAGGAAAGAAAAAGGTCGTTTCTAATTGACGCTCATAGGTTACAGATCTGATTTCAATGACGTTTTTATATCAGATAAAAATTGAAACGTGTTTTTAAGGAATTAATTTTAGAAGATTAAGTTACCACGTAGTGTTGGACAAACCC